GGCTCTATAAAGTGGATTCATTTATGAGCGTGCAATACCAGAAAAGAAGGTTTCCATATTCATTAATGCATTCCCTTATGTTCCTATTTTCACACCCGCTCCGTGCAGGAGCGCTGGGCCAGCAGATCCCCCAGCAAAGCACAGCTCAGCCATCTCACTGCGCTGGCGGGGTGACCGTGCTGATGCTGAGTCCAGTTCCTGAGCCCAATCTTGGCACTGGAGCCAGCAGGCAGCCCTGGGGCTGGGGAGGGAATGGGGATGGGGATGGGACCGGGAAGAGGAATGGGGATGGGAATGGGGAGGGGATGGGGATGGGGATGGGATGGGGAAGGGGGCGGGGGATGGGATGGGGATGGGATGGGGATGGGATGGGGATGAGGAATGGGGATGGGGCTCTCCCCATCACTGTCTGCATGCAGAGGGATGTGATGATGGAGAGCTGCGCTGCGTTGGCAGCGCTCGGCAGCAACCGTTGGAGGAGGTGGGGGAGGCACAGAGGGATTAAAGCTATTTAAAACACAGCCAGGTGTGCAAACAAGTTTATTCTATTGTAGCAGCCAGCGCATGAATCACGGGCGCTGTGGAAAGGTTACGGCGTTATTTAGGGCTGCCGGGGAGATGTGACATTTGGTGAATGCCTTTGCTGAGGATGTTCCCTCCGTGGATTCCGTGGTTATCCATTGGGACCTCAGAAAGCCACTGCCCTGCAGCCCCATCCTGCTCCCAGCACCCGGCACCCAGCGGGGCTTTGGCATTTCAGTGCAGCAGCTGCCTGACAGCTGTTGGCTGTTGGCAATAGGAACACTGGAGCGGGGAGAAGCGCTGCTCCCCTCGCAGCCCAGCGTCCCACGGCCCCTTCCTGCCCTCACACTGCAGCTGATGAGCGGCACAGCAGAGCACAGCTGCTGGTTTTCCCCTTTTCCCCACTGACGGTGCTGGAAGTGGTGCAGGAGAGGTGGCACTGAGATTGCTTTCTCCCAGCTGTTCATCATCAGCATCGGAGCTGCCCCGAGAGGATCAGACCCAGCACAGCTGCAGGGAGCAGAGGAAAGCCCACGGGCAGGGCGGTGGAACTGCATCCAGGATGAACCCTAGCTCCAAAGCAGCAGCATCTCCTGGGGCCCGAGGCTGAGGAGTTTGGGAGGTCTCATGGAAGCAGCGCGTTGCAGGAAGAAAACGGTTATCGACGCAGAACGCCGTCGTCTCACTTCCCAGGCTGTTAGAGAGAGAAAGGACAGAGTGGAAGAGTTTTACACCTTTGCAAAACAGTGCTCAGGAAGGAAATGAGCAGCCAGGGCTTGTAATTGAGATGGATGAAAAGGCGTCCGGCTTCCCCCAAAGCGATTCAGGCAACGTACTTGAGGAGAATATGAAGTGCGCCGCTCTCTTAAGATCGCCACGCTGCAGCTAAATTATTAATGATGAGGAATGATTTCATATTTAATCTAAAGACTATTAATTACACTGCAGAAGAGCAACGCACCATCCTGAGAGCCCCTTCTCACCAGCTGAATAATTCAGCGCTGCCCCATATTTTACCTCCATGTCGAGGCGGGCAGCGACGCGCTCCCATGCAGTGCGGAGGTGTTCAGGGCTGGAGGGGGCAGCCTATGGGGATAAGGATGACAGGGACAGATGTCAGCCCCCCATGAAGGCAGTAGGGCTGTGGGGCTGGGGGGGGGGAGGCTGCCATGGGGCTGAATGGGCCGGGGTGCAGCTGCTCCCATGCTCAGCACAGCCCAGCTCTGTGCAGATGCAGAAGACAGATGTTTATTTGTCCAGGATTATTTGCTGATCACTGTTACGGTGATCCAAGATGATCATTAAAAAGGGCAATGGGCTGTTTAATAATAATGCTCAGAGCACGCAGCGTGCCTCGCATTATGAGGATGTTTAAGCACAAGCCCAATTAAGTCCCTTGCATCCCTGCAGAATTACCCCAGTTGTGCAAACTATTAGCCAAACTCCAGGCTCCTTGCACTTGAAGGCAATCCTGGAGGCTGGCACTCTGCTAGAGACCCATTTCTACCCTGAAGCTAAATTAAAATCCTATTGCGCTGGCGCTGCTAATATTTCCTGCTCTTGTTTCCAACAATTAAATTGTGACATCCTGCCAAAGCCTGCGAGGAGCCCAGGAAAGGATCTCCACGAGCTGCAAAGAAGCCACAGCCTGCCTCTCTGCACCCAGGTAACCGGTGGGGGGAAACAGAGGGAAGTAAAAGGTTGTTTAAGGAAGAGATGAGTATTTGGTCACGGCTTAAAAGTTGGTACTTAGAAATTCCATGAATTTTAAAATAAAGACATTGTGAGATTTGAACTTTCTTCTGAACGCTCGCAAGCAGCGGTGCCTAATACCTTCCCTGGCCATTAAGGAGCTGAGCTGGAGAGCAGCAAGCACTAAGCACCACGCTGATAGAGCAGTTACACACAGTAATAGAATTGTGTTTGGAGAGGCTGCAAAGGCAGGTATGGAGCCCATGCATAAACAAGGCCATTACCAGCCAGAGTAAGCGGTGATAGAATTTCATGAATATCCCCACAAAAAGCTTTGTATATTTATAACAACCCACAGAGTCGTTTGGAGCTCAGTCAGGGGCCTTTCGGAGTGATTCGGGAGGTAAATTGCGCAGCAGGGCTGTGCTGCCCTGCCCCAGGTATGGGAGATGTGGGCTGCTGCCATGGGGCAGTGCTGGGACAGGGCACGGGGGATGGAAGCTGCTATGGGGCAGCCTTGGGGGCGCCCAAAAGAAATGATTGCTCCTCTGTCTGCCCACTGAAGTGGCTGAGGGGTGACAGACCGGCATTTCCACGTCTCAGGAAAAGAATATCCAGGATTCATCGGCCTCAAAGCGCCAGGATGGGGCTTGGAATCCACACACCAGCCCACCTCAGCATATTTATTGCTTCGATTTAAATAAATAGCTGCTTCAAACTCAGAAAAACTTCTTGCTGCAAGTTTTGCAAAACCCGAGCACGCGTGATAGCAGGCATGTAGCTGAAAGACGAACCTAATCAAATGCTAATTGCAATTCATAAATTATATTGGGATGCCTGGGACTGTCGAAGATCCTGGATGAAGTGTAGTGTTCAATTTATCCTGCGCACGTTGCCGACAGTGCTGCCAGCCTCCTTCTTGTCCCCCTGTGTTGTTTTGTCATCTCTGTACTATCACCAATTCATCACAAAGGCAACTGAACTCTCCGATGTCCACCCACTGGGTGACTTTGTCTGCGCTACTCTATGACTTCTAAATTAAATTGTCAAAACACATTACTGAGAAAAATATTGCGAAGGGAAAGTTCTTTACCCTTTTATCCCATCTTAGGAGAGAATCAGTTTGACTTGAAGAAAACGTCGGCTTCATTATCCCTCCTGCTATCATATTTCTTCACTCAGCAGCGGCAGAAGAGAGTCAATAGGGAAGACTTGGATGACATGATGTAGCATCCCACAGGAGTTGTCTCAATAAATTCTGAGAGCGCCCAGAAATGCTGCTGGGGGGTACAGGGGAGGAGGGCAGGGAAGAAGAAGGGATAATTTTCACTCTCTTTATTCCTCCCACTCTCAGACAATTTAGAAGAGATTACGGACCTGGTGGAGACTTCCCTGCTCATCCCACACCCGCCGGTCGGGGTGCAGCTCCTTGGGGTCCCTCCATCAGCAGACATCTGCCCAAGAGGGGCTGAGCCCAGGGCACCTGGAGGAGTCCTCACGCGTGGAATCCCCCCAGAGGGCTGCCAGCAGGGGGGAGCAGCTCCAAAACTGCTCCAATTCGCACCAGAGGAGAAGCCAGGCAGCACGGCCGGCTCCATATGGCTCCTGCAGGGCTGGCGTCGTGCTCAGTACTGTGGGAGAGTCTGATGCTCGATGTGATCCCATAAAATCGTTCAACTGCAGACATAAAACAAAGGAAGCCATTCCTCCAAGGTAGAGACATGTTAGTTGCCACCTTTTCCCATTCACATGCTGGTCTTTTTGGGGCATAAAGTACCAGTCATAGGAAGCAAGTAACGCATTGTGGCTCATTCTTTTGGCTTTAGACAACATGAACATAATAAATATATACTGTTTATTTATTCTGCTGCGGTGCGAGTGCAGGAGGCAATGCCCACGTTTAAATGGGACATTTTTAAACGCTCACATTTCCTGGGCCGTTATGCATTAGCCATCAGTACTCAAATTGCCTCGTATTTGCAATTTTATGGCTACATTTCATCAAGCACACGGGAGCTGCATTCAAAGCATGAGAATAAAGCACTCCACTCGCGTTAGGCTCTGATGCAGGCGGTGGCTGCCCAGCAGAAATCTCTTTTTTCTTTTTTCTTTCTTTTTTTTTTTTTTTTTTTGCAGCAGTTTCAATTCCATCTGCAAATCCGAGCTCAGGGTTGAACTCAACCTGCGTGGAAATCAGTGCTGGAACGCGTCCCGACAGCTCCCAGCAGCGCCGGGGTCACCGGGTCGGTGTTCAGCCTCGCACCCAACCCGACCTTCAGCCCCTCTGTCGCATCCCAGACCCTTCAGCCGCTCCCCACAGCTCTGCGCTCCGGCCCATCACAGCTCGGGGCTGCGCTCCCCCCGCCCGGGCTTCTCCTCAGTGCCGCGCCCGCACGGGGCGCCCTCAGGCTGCGGCCTCCCGGCGCCACCTGCCGACGGAACGCGGAACCGCGCTCGACGCTGCCGGCAGGGGGCGGCATTGCGGGCGGACTGCGGCTCCCGGCTTGCAGCGCGGCGGGAGATGCGGGGGGGAGGGGGAGGAGGGCTCCTCGGCTCTTTCAGCCCCGCCCTCCGGCTCGGCTTTCACTTCCGCCGCCGAAAACTCCAACTCCCAGCAGGCACCGGGCCGCCGCGCCCTTCCGTTTCCGGCCGCCCGGTGCGCCCTCGTCCCCTTAGCGCAGCGCCGGGCCCAGCGGTGCCGGCGGCGCGGGTTCCTCGCGGCTCCTCCGGGGCTCCCGGGGTCACCTTCATGGGCCGGCGGTAGCGCGGCGGGGCCCGGGGCCGTGCTGAGGCGTCGGCGGGGCGGGGAGGAGCGGGACAGGCGGCGATGTTCGTGCAGGAGGAGAAGATCTTCGCGGGGAAGGTGCTGCGGCTGCAGGTGTGCACCATGGAGGGCGCCGAGTGGCTGGAGGAGGTACCCGAGGACACCACGGTGGAGAAGCTGAAGGAGCGCTGTCTGAAGCACGTAAGGAGCTGCCCGCCGCCTCGGGCCGAAATCGGTGCGAAAATCACGGCCTGGGAGCGGCGGGCGGAGCCCGAGCCGTGCGGGGTTACGGGAACGGCCCGGAGGGACCGCAAGAAGCGGCAAGCGGAGAGAAAAGCGGCTGCTGGGGGAGCGCCGAGTGACAGCGGAGTTCGTTTTGTCTGTTGGCGTTGGGGAACGAGCAGAAAATGCGGAGTGGTGGGGGGGATTTTCCCCTTTTGGAAGAAGCACCCGCAGCCGCCGCGCTGTGTGTGAGCCTTTGGGCACCGCGGGCTCTGTGGCATCCTGTGCTCGCAGCGGTGCGGCCTTCGTGGATGTGCCGAAGGGGAGATGGGTGCTGGCTGCCTGCGAGAGAAAATGCTTAAAATGCGCTGGCGGTCCGTAAAAGTTGGGCTGGGAAATGCGATGTTACCCCATTCCCATTTACGTCTATGGGTGTTAAAGGTGAAAGCGAATGGTTACAAAACTGCGGGGCTGAATTTCGAACGTGGTGTGAAGCTGTTGCTGATGCCAACATCGGCTCTGCCTGCCTGGAATCGGCAGCAGGTCGGGCTGTTTGGGTCACAAACTGCAGCTGGGAGTCGGGCAGCTGTTGGCTTGGAATGCAAAGGGCCTCCGGACGAGCAGTTCGTATCGATTGTTTTTAGTGTCTTTTGCCTTTGAAGTGTTACAAACATGTTAAGAAATGCTCTTAGTAAAGCAAAGTACCGGCGTGAGAAGCTGTGACAAGCAGCAGTCTGAGCGCTGTGTGAAGGCTGGGAGTTGGCTGCCAGTGTGGCCCGCAACCCTGTTGCCCTCTGCTTTGTGCCTTCTGGTTGGTTGCTTCCAGCTAGAAGCCTTGGAATCTACAGCTCACAGTGCACGCTGTTCCTCTAGAGCCTTGGTCTTTGTGCTTCTTGACTGGGGGATGAGAACGGCTGCAAATGGATTTGCTTTATTTGTGGGAGGTGTGATCCTTTCTGAGGCAAAGTGAAGATGCTGTGCTCCCCACGTTGTGACATTCCTGAAGGAAGTGCTCCTGTATTGTCCCCGTTCAGTGCAGCTGAAGGATTAGACAAAGACGTAGGGTGGGGTAATGATTACATGCATATGTGCAGAGCTGAAAAGCCTTTAATTATCAGGAAACATAATTGAATAGATGCTTGCATTGCAGTGCGAGTCAGAGTGGAAGACAATTGATAACTTGGCAAGATGTTTGATTTCATTCTCCTGGCTGCTTTGTGCTAATGGTTTGGATTTGCATAACCATTATGGATAATATATAGTTTTATGGAGGGGATAAATAGAAATGGAAAAATCATGACTCCTGATGGCGGGTGCATTGCGATGAATCTTGATGGCACCTTGAGGTAATTTATGCAGCCATCTCTCCTCAGATGCTGATTAGTGTATTCTCTGAAGTCCTTGAAACCATTCTTTCAGGAGGTGAAGGGAGGTAATTCCATTAGAACGCCTAGTTTGGGGTTGGGAAGGTGGGTGCTGTCCCTCTAGCATTTCAGTGCTTACTGCTCTCTCTCTAGTGTCACTTGTGATGTGTTTTTTTCTCTCATAACTGATGAAAGGGTTGGGTGGTATTTATTTTTTTTTGCTGTATCTGTTGCCCTGTAACAATGTAGTGGTGGTCCTAAGCCAGGAAACTGCTGCCTTCGGTAACGCTGTCTAGTCTGTGAGTAAACACCTGGCAGTGTTGTTTTCTTTCCTAGTTATTTCTGTATGCAGATTTCACAACCAAAGTGTTCTCATGGAGCAGTGCCTTTCCTCCGTGCCAGGCTGAGGTCTCTGTGCAGTGCAGCTGGCAGGATCGAGCCCCATGCTCCCCTGTGGCTTCCTTAAAAATCCACTGTTTGTTTCAGAGCCAGAGCTGAGAAAGCTCAGTATAACCATGGCAGCCCAAGTGTAACTTTCCTATGTGTTTTCATGATCTGTGATTCTTGTGCCCAAAGCTGACACTTCAAGCTCTGCTTTGGCTGAAGGTGCCGTGGGAAGTCCTGGTTCTAACACTGCAGTTGGAGAACTGTAAGAACTGCTCCTTGCTGAGGCTTGGTAGTATTTCTGATAGAAATTTTGGCCGTGCACTTGAGATGCACCAATGTGATCTGTGTGAGCTTTTAATGCTCCTGTGCTTCTGTCCTCCTTTCTCTTAAGCTGCCTCAGTGGTTTTCGTGTGGGTTTTAAGGTGTGTTAAAGGTTGTCCTAGGAACAGAGGGGTGAGGTGCTGTCAGAGCACGGGGATATGGGAGGTTCCTGACCCTCTGTATGCTTTGCATACTTGTTGTTTAAGCCACCCAAGCTTAGTAATAAGGAGTGGCAGTACTGTGCTCTTTTTTTTTTTTTTTTTTTTAAAGCATAGTAAATAAATAAAAATCTAAAAATAAGCAGCAAGCTTTGTGGTCTATCAGGGTTCCAAGCTCTGCAAATAGCATTCAGCATTCATCACCAGGCCTTGTAAGTCCAGCAGTTGCTCAAGCATCTGCAAAAATAGGTTTCTCACCTGTGCTGTAGAACAGCCTGCCGTGAATTCCTGTGTTAAAAGGACATGCAAATATTTATGCTGGAAGCAAAATCGTGAGACAACAGATCCTCTCCTTAGGGTCCTTCTTTATGAAAAGATGCAGGAGAGCTCATCTTCCAGCATGCTGCACCTCTGCGTGGTGCCACAGCCACCTCCCTCTGAGCAGGGAATTCTCTTCTCTGGGCAGGATGCTGTTTTCAGCCTGTGATACAAGAATGCTGGCTGTTGTCAGGTGTTCCCAGGAAGCAGGGCTGTGCAGCCAGGTCTGATCAGCCCAGCTGCCCATTCCAGGTGGTTTGCTGAGAGCTCGCACAGGTGCTGCTGTGAAGATGGCCTTCCTGTTTCCAAGGCGTGTTAAAATAGGCCAAGATGTGCTGGGTGTTTCACAGAGCATTCCCTCTCATAGAGGTGCTGTTTTCATTTGCCTTACTGTTCTACACGGTTGTCAAGCAGTGATCAAAGAAATGGGGAATAAGAACAGATGATTGCAGGACGTTTGTTTTAAAGCAGCTTTATTGTGAATTCATAGGGTTTAAGTGAGTCTAGTCTTTCACTTACACGTTGATGTCATTAGTAAGTGTTGTGATTGCATGCACACTGTATGCACAGCTTGGTGTGCCAGGTAGGAAGCAGCTGTTAGGTACATCCTTTGCTCCCCCCATGTGGGTGCTTCCCAGCTCCCAGCTCTTCTTTTCTGGGCTCTGACTGTAAGGATCTGTAAAAATAGTATTTTGAGCTTGTTTGGAGACATGTCCAACTGATGTATTCCTAAGTATAACTTATCAGATCAATTAGAGGAGCTACTCCCTGTTACTTCTAAGCTTTAATGCGTTGTTTGGCTTTTGTTCAGCAGTTAATATGCTGAAGGATTGGTAAGCAGCTGCTGCTATGCAAAGCAGGACTCTAACGTTCTCACCTTAATCCTGCCAAGGCATCAGAGCAGCACGGAAGTTCAGGTGAGGAACTGAAGGTCTGTGTTGAGAACAAGTGCAGCCTTTGGGGAGAAAAGCCAAGGAACGAACAAGTTCTCCAGCAGCTGAAATCAGCAGAAAAAGTGACGATGGATCCAAAGGGATTCCTCTGAGGGGGGCTGCATTGTGACCAAATGCTACGTTTGAAGCAAAGCACTGATGTTGGTGGGGCTTCTGGAAATGGCTTCCTTACCTGAAGGGTGGGGATGTTGTTCTACATGGGGTAGAAGTGGCTCAATAGAGATGTGCTCTGAAAGAGGAGTCATCGAGAGCTGTTTTCTGTGAGCAGAGCAGGCGAGGTCAGAATTAAGTGTCCTATTTTGTGGTGAGAGCAGCAGCATCCATTTCAGGGTTCTGGTAGGTGGTTATTTTTAATTCTGCCTTTCTGGAATTGCATCCATTATGCTTTGTTTTTTTTCACCCAAACAAATTAGAAGTCTCTAGATGCACTGATGTAATGTTCTTGAAATCTCTCGCTGTGGATCTGCAGCCACTCCAGTGTGAAGATGAGTCAATTCAAGTTCTGCATGCGTTTTTCTTAGTTTTCTGTTGCAGCACTAAAATACCAGGAGATTTAAACCCTTCAGTAAGGCTGGGGCACAAATGCTGGGGGATTCATGCTTAATTGCATAAACAGCATGGCATTTCAGCTTGTAGTTTTCTTAGGGGATCAAAATGGTCCCTTGCACTGTTGGTGGGATTACGTGGGTCCATCAGGCTCTTTGTCCCAGCAAAACTCCTCAGCTGTAGGCAGAATGTGTGTTTGATACTGGGGAACAGCTCTCTATATTTGAGTTTCTGTGCCTAGAAAAAGGAGAACTTGTTGTGCCTACTTGCACAAATATTCCTCATGCTCCTTAGTGTAGCTCTAAAACAAATCTATGCTGACGCTCGTATTGTGAGCTTTTGGGGGTTCAAACTGGAATTTTTGGTGAATGAAGACAATGTATGATTTAGAAATGTAATAGAAAGTAGAGCACAGTGTTAATATATGGAGATTAGCACATGCTGATTATTTATAGTGGGGAAGAAAAGTTGTGAAACTGACTTCTGTTCAGTGCTTTCAGCAAGAAGCCCAGACAGGGCTCCAGCATCAAGGCTTTGGCTTCAACCTGCAGACTGCTGCCTCCTTCCCAGTTTAAGGTCAAGCACTCCAAACTCACTGCTGCCAGTTGCTTGTTTGGTTTGACAGTGTGTGTAAATAACAATTACTGGATGAAGCAGAGTCTCTGTGTTCTGACACGAGCTACAAATGAGAAGTGTGCTGCATTATTGCAGTCCCCTCTCTGCAAAAACACTGGCAGTGGATTTCCCCTCCAGCTTCACGACACAACTTGTTACTCCTCAGCTTCTCACTGAGAGCGAGTGACCTTTGTGAGCTGCTGCAGAGCTGACACTGCAGCTCCATCCTCACTGTACTCGCAGTCTCCATGGGCTGAGCGTAGGACCAGGCACTCTGAGTTTGGATTGTGATGGGGATGCACCGTTCTGCAGCAGTCTCCCATCTGCTCATGGAGACCTTGGAGGGCCCGTGTGGAATGAATGGGATGTAACATCTGGTCTTTGAAACTGACAGTTGTGAGTAAGTTCTGTGGGGTGTCATCATCAGTTAGAACTTAAACATAGCTATTGATTTAACAGCATTGAGGAAGGAAAGCTAGAATGCTACCTTAGTTGGTTATTCTTCCCAGCCAGGAGCTTGGATGTGCAGGCAGAAACCAACCCCATTACAGCACAGTTCAACCCTCAGTTTCTTTAACAGTACATTATGTTCACATGTACACCCCTGGTGTGTTGTGCCATTACTGAAGCTATTGGGAAGTAGGAAATGGTGGCGCAGTTTGCAGGTGGAGAATCTTAAGTGTGAAGTGCAGTGATTCACGCAATAGGTTTATTTCTTTCTTCTGATGTTCAGTATTTGTCTTCTGCAGTGTGTGCCTGGGAGCTTGGAGGATCCGAAAACTGTGACACATCATAAGTTGATACATGCTACTTCTGAGAAGGTGCTAACAGACACAAAAACAGTGCTGGAGGAGAACATTCAAGACAGAGGTAAGGTTGTCCTTTTAATCTCACCAGCCTGGAAACGAGAAACTGAGTTCCAATTTGTGACTTTGCATTAGCAGCACTGTTTTGATATGGGAAACTAACAAGGTGGCAAAAATGAAGAGACTTTTTCTCCACTTGATGAGAATACACAGTGAATGGTTTTCGTTCCTTAACTCCTTTTAAGAGTCACACAGGATATAAAGAGTGTTCATTAAGTCAAAATGTTAAATTATTTTTCTCTCCCTTAAAGTAATGTCTAAACCCTCAAGGCAGCAGTTATCCTTCAAATTGATCCAAAAATGGCTTGAGCATTTCAAGAAAGGCAGCCTGAAACCTTTGGGGCTTTTCTTGAGGTCTGCAGGTCAAGTGGAATGTTGTTTGCTGAAGTACATCTGAGCATCACGGTTTACATCCCATTCAGTCCTCTCCAAGTGTAGCTCAGAACTCCCCACACTGCAGCACTGCTGACTGCAACAGAGTATGTGAGCATGTGTGAACTTTACAGATGTCAGGGATTAACATGAAACAGAAGAAGGCCTGAAGATGAGAGCTGTCAGGGTAGCTGGAGTCACTTTTTACTGGACGGCTTAAACTGATGGTCCCTTGTGGAGACAAAAGGCAGTGGTCCAGAAAATGTGAGAAGCAGAACTGCTGTAAAATGGGCTACTGCCTGAACCAGAAACTGCAGGAGTAGTGTTCCTGTACTTATGCAGGAGTTCATGCAGGTTGGAAAGCTGTTGCTATGACCATCAGCAATTTTGTCTTTCTCTCCCAAGGGAGTGTCACCCTTGGAGCAGGGCAGGAGCTGAGAGCTGCCATCTTAGGCAGGGCACAGCTTTATTTTGCTGATTGGTGATGTATTGTTTCTAGGTGAGGCACCAGCTCCTACAGACCTTTGAATTGCAGTTTGTGGCCACTAAGCAGTATTAAGCTGTCATGGAATGCTTCTTTACCCCTCCTTCCCCTGCAATGTGCTCTACCTTTAAGTGCCTAGCTGCTGTCAGGGAGGCAGGATGGCAGCCAACAGCTGACTGCCACTGGCTGACTCCACTTGCTGCTGGGCAGGGCAGCCAAAAGTCAGCGTGTGAATCTTTTCACGCTCTTGTCAGCTGGATAAGTGAGGGTTAACAGCCTGCACCAGCTGCTGTTCTTGGCTGCTCTGTGCCAACAAAACTTGTTGCACAAAGCATGATTTGTTTGCTTTTTACCCTCTTAATGTGATAGACTGAAAACTGCGTGTCAGGCTCTGTCTGGCTGAAGGACTGCAGATGTTCTGGGCTCTGAGCTGAGAACCTCTGTGGTAATAACTGAGATGCTACAACAGTGGAATTAATAGAAAAGTCATCTCTAGGAAAGCTTGAGTTCATGACTTATCTTGCAAGAGCTGTTTTACATCATCAGTATCGTTCTCTTTTTAGATGTCTTGCTCTTAATAAAGAAGCGTGCGCCACCTCCGCTCCCCAAAATGGCAGATGTGTCTGCAGAGGAGAAAGTGAGTTTGAAAAGATTTCTGGACTTGTCCAATTTGATTAACTGCTTTATTAATGAGCTACAGAAATACTGTCACGGTGTATTCTCTGTGTAGGGACAAATGCACCCAGTTAAACTGTAAAGTAAATATTTCATCCTCCTTCCAAACTTTGAAGAATTACTTTACGTTTTTTTAACTTGGATTGTGAGAACACGTGCTGTGGAGTAAGACATGCAGATGCACTCTGTGCAAGTGGTGTAGATTTCATCTTCAAAAAAATATATACTTAGGGACTGTATAGCAAGTGCCTCACTGCATCTCTTTTGAAAACTTTATAGAAATCCATTAATTTGCTTGAGGCTGTGTTCTGTCTTCAGTAATGTCTGGCTTATCATCCCCTAACGAGGTCCAGAGTGTTGTCCCCTTGCTCTTCTTGTTTGTTTGTTTTCTTTTCCTCAGAATGTAGTTTTTAATGAGGGTCAGTGATGTGCAGGATGACGTTCAGACACGAGTGGTACTGCAGTGGGTGTTACTGTGTGAACACTTGGAGCAATGCTTGTGCCTAACGCTGTGAATTCCTGGGTCTGTCTGCCTTCTTGCACAGCTTTGTTTTTTCTTGCTTCCTGTAGGTATTGGTGTATGTCTCTGTATCCCTTCCTGTAGGTATTGGTGTATGTCTCTATCTCCATTATGGTCTTGCTGTGCAGAATGTCACCATAAGAGCCTAAGATATAAGACTGTGAAATGTTTATGTTTGTACCCCTGCTATGTTTTGTCCTGGACTATTAGCATGTACTAAATGTCAGAGGCACCATATATCTCTGCATGATACTTGCAAGCAATAAAGCACTTCCAGTGTGAAGCAGTTAAGTGTTAGTCTGTTCACAGTATTGATACAGCTCTTGGCAAGCCCTGGATTTGAAGAGAGTGCTCTGAGCAGATAGTATAGAGTATGGTCCTGGGAATTGAGGCCCTCCAAGTTCTCTCCATGTTTGGCACATCACTTTTCCTCTTTATGCTGGAATTTCCCCACATTTAAATAACAGAAATAGATACAAGGACTGAAAGTGGGGCAACCCAGCAGGTCCTGTTTTGCTCTGTAATTGCAAAGTGACGTTAGTGCTATTAATCCATTGTATTGCTAGGCTGCTGTTTCTTAGTTGCAAGTTACAGAGCACTGCTTGATGCCTTGGTAAAGAATATGAAACTGCTCTCAGCAATGCTATGTTCTTTGTTCTGTGGATAATGGGTTATGAAACCTGACTGTGTTTCCCATCCTTCAGAGGAAACAAGAGCAGAAAGCTCCAGATAAGGATGCTATTCTCAAAGCAACTGCAAATCTGCCCTCTCGCAATGTAGATCGCACTGTGGCCCAGCACAACATGAGGGATGTAAGTATTGGACTTGACTTCAACTCACACGCTGGTAGCCAAGTAGACTTTTATCTTATAATCTCTTCTCTTCCATATGAATGTGGTTAGGCTTTCTCTGTGGGAGAAATTGAAGTGTGTACAGTGTATATGAAAGTAGATAGCACAATCTGTGTGTAAACCCTGAGTTATTTAGTGATTATGAAACGCTGCACTAAATTATGACTTAAAATGTTTTATTTCTCCCTGGGAAAGCCTCAGTATGCTTCTGAAGATCTGGCAAATGTGCAATTCAATCTTGAATAGTTCACGTTTTCACAAAGTTTTCTCTGCCGTGGCTTTGAAGAGACATCAGTCATAAATCTTGAACTTCAGTAGTCGACTGCTGTCTGCAATACTTCCAGCTGTGTCTTCAACAGCGTGGGGGCTACTTTTTCTCTTCTGATATTAACAGCTTCTCTATTAATATTTAGTGATGTCTGGTAGCCTCCTATCTAAATGTTTTGACAGTTTCCTTTTTTGCAGTTCCAGACAGAGCTCCGGAAGATCTTAGTTTCTCTCATTGAAGTTGCACAGAAATTGCTAGCACTGAACCCAGATGCAGTTGAACTATTTAAGAAGGCAAACGGTATGAACATATCTCTACAGTTACTAGTTCAATCCCAGGAATTGTTTTCTTACACAGCAGAAGAGTAGACTTGCAGGATTAAGTCCAAACTTCAGTGTAGCAGCAGAGCTGCTAATGACTTTGCGGCAGAGATTTCAGCTTGTGGTGTAGGTTTATCAAACTGGGCGATTTATGAGGTCCCTTTGGGATGGATAAGAAGTTCCATTTAAAAACAAAATCATCAGCAGTGGAATAACTGGAGGACTTTGCAAGAGTTGGTAAAGAACAGTTGGAAATGCACGAGGAAACAGTAAAATGGGGAGAAATTGGAGCTGTTGATTCAGTCTGTGGGGAAATACCCTTGAGATCTGCTAGGACCAGGTCCAAATTGCTTTCTGGATTATTGATAAACTTCAGTGAATTTCCCATATACTTAATTATGTGGACATGTAGTCATATGAGAGTTTGCTGTCTGTTGTTTGAGACCTTGAATGTATCTGGAATAAGTCTTTGTCCTGGAAGAATTTGTCTGAGCCTGATCAAGCTGAGTACAGCACATTAAATGATGAGATAGCAAATTCTGGCCGGAAACAAAAGCAGGGATGGAAGAGAAGAATGGGGTTTGAACTTAACACATGCCATTCCATTGAGAAAGGGTTTTATTTTAGCTTGAAGTTAGTCTCAACATTGTTCTGTTTGTGTATGTGTAGCCATGCTGGATGAGGATGAGGAAGACAGAGTGGATGAGATAGCTCTGCGGCAACTTACAGAAATGGGGTTTCCAGAGAGCAGAGCTGTCAAAGCCCTTCGATTAAATCAGTAAGTGTACTTGGCATGCTGCCTGTAAATCACTTGGTATGGTTTAAAAAAAAAAATACATTTTTTTTAGGGAAATCTCCTTATGTGGGTCACCTAGAACTAGCAAAAAGCATTGGCTCAAGGAAGAGTGCTGCCTCGGGCAACCTGCAGGTGCAGCTGGCAGAGGAAAGGAGAAGCTATGTTGTATTTGCTCTGGAGAGAAGTCAGTCTGCAGTTCCCAAGGCTGACAAGCTCTCTCTGTTTCCAAGTATTAAACTCACATCTTCTGCTCTAAAACTTTACAGAGGGGAAAAAAAAAGCAAGCTAAGCCCTTCCAGACTGGTTTGTCAACTGTAACAAAATACTTTATGCTGATCTTTTAAATAAAGCATTCCAAGAATATTACAAAGCCCAGATAGCAACTGTAGAGAAATAGGAGGTAATACAGTTCTTGTGCCATAAGAAGAAAGAGTTGTGCTGCCTCACTTCTGAGATGGGTTTCTTAGGTTATTCACTAAAATGTCTAATGATATCAAATCCAAATAACAGTCCTTCTTTTTCAGTAGCTCTCCTTTGGTCTTCGAAGGACTTTCTCCCTCAATATCCTCCATCTTTCATGTTGTAACTGAAAAGCCAGATAGGCAAGGGCTTCCCTTTCCTTTTTAAGAACATCCAATTACTGTGTGATCAAATGAAATTGCACGTTCAGTTGCTCTGTTATCTTTGCTTCCTATGTATTCATTGGGAAGGCATGTGCTGGATCTCTCCCATGATCTCTTAGCTTGAGCTCTTGCAGTCAATTGCCTGTGTTAAATTTTGTTCTTGCTCAGGGTGTATGGTGCATGTGTAATGTTTGTCCCACCCTCTTCCACTGTTAACGACGTTCCTTTATCACTAGATGTCTGAGATCTCCCTAAGATGCAACAGAATAGCTTCTCTCAGAGATGTGGTTCCATTGGGAACATGCTTTGTAGTTTTGTCAGCAGTTGTTGGTAGTCGGTGTGTGTTTGTTGTGAAATAGAGCTGCTGATGTGGAGAACAAGATGCCTCCCCATGAAGTGGCCTTTAAAACCTGAGTTACAACTGTCCAGGTTGGACTTCACTCCTCTGTCATCCTGGCTTTAGAGATTACTGTGCAGCCTCAAGTGCATGGAGTATTAAGGTGCTTCAAAATTTGCTCCAATACTTTGTATGACTACGCAGATAATAATTAATCAGCTAGTCAAGATGCCATGGGAAGCAAAAATATGTGTGCAGTGCTGCTGTGTGTCTGGAGCATTCCTCATCCCTTTGTTTTGATTTTCTTTTCAGTATGTCAGTGACACAGGCCATGGAGTGGTTGATAGAACACGCAGATGACCCTGCAGTGGATGCTCCGCTGCCAGGTCAGACGCCTTCCGAAGCTGCAGCTGAAGCTGGTGCATCCTCTGCTGAAGCAACTGCAGGTCCAAGTTCAGAAGCAGATGGGGAAGAAGCCAAAGATGAGCTGACTGAAATATTTAAGAAGATACGAAGGAAAAGAGAGTTTCGTCCAGACCCACGGGTGTGTGCTGCTTGCCTCTCTGCTCCTTCATTCTGCATCAGCTGCAGAAGTTGTCCCTTACTGATAACGTCGTGTTAGCTGAAATGGGAAGGCGTGCTGTTATCGCACTGTGAGCTCACCAGGAGGTGCTCTTTAGAATCCACCACTGGGCTTTTATAAATAGGTGTTTTTTGTGATTTAAGTCAAAAGCTGCAAATACTGTATTGAATGACCCAGGCACAATTTCTAAGTGATGAAGCATTCTTATAGCATTATCTGGGTGCACTTGTCCAAATATATAATTCATACTAGCAACATAATAAAGGCAGGAAGTGAAATTAAATCCAGTGAATAAAGCTACGAGTTGGCAGAGTCTTGGAGCTTCTGGAGCTCAATCTCTCAGTGAGACATCAGCAAAAGCTTTGTGATGTGAGAGAAGTTTAAAAATATTTCAGTCTTGCTCTTTCCCACACCAGGTGCCTGCTCTTTGCCTCGTGTCCATCTTTCATTACTGAATAGGAACTGTCTTCAGTCTTGCTTCCCATAATAAAGACACTTTTGATGTACAGTATTCAAAAACCTTGTAGCAAAGTTTACTTAGTGGTCTGCAAATGGAAACAATTGAGTTTTTACCCCACAAAAAGCTCCCTTGCAGAAAGTGAAGCATTTGGTTGTTCTCATTTGTTTTAAACATTAATCCATGCAAATCTTACAGGCTGTCATTGCCCTCATGGAGATGGGATTTGATGAAAAAGAAGTGGTGGATGCACTCAGAGTAAACAACAACCAGCAAAACGCAGCCGTGAGTACAGTGTCATTTCTTTTCCTTGCTGCTGTAGTAGTCTGTGCAGCTGGTTGTTTTCACTGCAGAATTGGTTGATCTTGTTACTGGGGTGAAGTGATCGATCATGGAATCTGTTGTGCCTGATGATTTCTTTCAGTGTGAATGGCTGCTGGGAGACAGAAAGCCTTCTCCAGAGGACTTAGATAAGGGAATTGACACGAACAGCCCTCTCTTCCAAGCCATCTTAGAAAACCCAGTGGTACAGTTAGGGTTAACCAACCCTAAAACTCTACTAGGTAAGTCCTGATTGGGTTCCCACTAAATATATTCCATCTCTGCAGTTCCTAGCAAATAAGAACAGAGACAGGGTGATGACAACACGTACCATGAAATGAGTGCTGCTCTGTACCTTTTTTCTGACTACTGGCAACTCATTTCATTTTGCAACTCAGCTATAACCTGAACTGAGCTTGGGATGTCCCAGAAACGATGCTAATTTCTTAGACTACTGATTTACCCTTGCTGAACTCAGAGCTTTAATAGCTGCTGCAATGCTTTTGTGGTTTTAGAAGAGCTTTAGTGTGCTCTCTTTGGCCATGGAGAATGAAAAAAAAAAAAAAAAAAGGAATGTCTGTTTAGAACCCTGATGACTTCACAGGAAAAACAAGGCTGTCTCCTGCTGTACAGCTTGCTGTGTTTTGTGCTCTGATCATTGAAGTGGAAGATAACTAGTGTAACCAAACAAGAAGTCAGTGCTAAGGCTTTGCCTATCACAACTCAGATAGCGCTTGTGAAAATATATTTTCCCCTTCTTGAGTATCAGCTCTGTGAGAAAGTCTGTGTTCTTGCTCAAAAATGCTGTGAGCACAGCAAGTACTCAACTGATGAAATCAATGGTGAAATGCAGATCTCTTGTGCATTGGCCTCTCTGGTGCTGGAGGGCAATGCAGAAGACTGGCAACAATTGTGTTGTATATATAAAGTTTTGCATTTAGTGTTTGGCTTCAAACTTTATTCAAAACTCTGCTTTGAAATAAAGGGTGTTTACATGGCTTTTTCAGGAGAGCTTTTTAAGATGCTGCTTTAAACGTAATTGGGAATGTTTGCAAGACTTTAAATAATTCAAGAGCAGAACCTTCCCTTCCCACTCTCATTTCTGAGCAAATGGTCTCCTTATTTCCAAAGACGGTTCCCCACTGCAGCTCAGAATATAAATAGAAAATGAAATGTCATTATATGTGCTTGTAAAGCTTGGATGAACATCAGAATGTATTTGCAATGATACATCAGCAAATTGCTTATGCCGCAGATTTTAACCATAAGTGTTTGTGTTTAATTAGATACCTAAGGAATGTTGAGAAATGTTTAGTTTTAAGCTCTTGAGTGCGTGTAAAAGAGGACACTTGAAGTGGTGAAAGGTGAGATCTGTACATTATTCTGGGCTTTGCAGCAAGCTTGCAGCATGACCTTGAGCAAGGTGTTAATGATGAGCCTTCAGAGGTGCTGGGTGCTTATGGCTCCCACTAAGGTCACTCAGAGCTTTGTACACTAATGCTCCTGGAAAGGTTCAGGCTGGCACCCTGATGCTGGACTGCCAGACTCTTCTAGCTCTGACCTTTTGGTGACTTCTGAATAGGTCAGATATGCAACTGCTTTTTTTCTGTTCTGTAATGACTGCTCCAAATGTCCACTAGTCTGGCACAGTATCCATCAAAAAGGTTATAGATTATTCATTCTTTTGCCAAATTTGTAACTTAGCTCTTGCACCAAATGTCTAGTTCCTTCAAAATAAAGAGAAAAGTGGAAACCATCATGTAAAAAATAAAAGTAAACCAAACTAACTCAGTGTAATGACAAAATAAAAAAAAGTGCTGCCCAAATGTCCTCATTCTAAGATGGACATTCAGAACCCAATTACGTGGTGTGTTCCCTGCTGCTGCTGCCAGTGTGGATGTAAGCAGAGAAATCCTTTCCAGCCCTCCATGAATATGGTGTTGGAGGCTGCTCGGCCTCCTCAGTATCAGTGGCTAGAAGAAGCCACTCTGCAAACCCAGAAGAGCCCTATTCCTGAGGAGGGACTGAGGCACCTCCGTTTCTCCTGGGGTGTGTCAATCTGAAGAGCATTATTACACTGAGTGCAAAACTGCTCTGTAAAGGAAAAGTTCTGTCTGTAGACTTTAGCAAAGCGTTTGGCTTTTCAAACCCATGTCACTGAGGTTATGTAAGATGGACTGTAATCCAGACTGAGTATTTAATCGGCCTCTGCCTGTGGTAAATTTAATACTGAGCAGTGAGGAAAGAGTAACAGCATGTAGCAGCCCAGTGTGGAGATGCAGGAGAACAAATGGTAACCGTGTGATGGATTCTCACCGTTCCCAGGGGCTGCTTGCCCGCTGCCTTGGATGAGCTGTAAGTGTTTCTGACTTTCTTGTTGCTGAAGCATCCCAAACCTGCAGCGCGTGCTGCTGAAAGACCAGTAACGTGCTGGTTTCCTTCTCTTGGCAGCCTTTGAAGATATGCTTGAAAACCCCTTGAACAGCACTCAGTGGATGAACGATCCAGAAACTGGGCCTGTCATGCTGCAGATCTCTCGAATCTTCCAGACGCTGAATCGCACGTAGAGGGGAATGCCAGACCACTGTGCCACTTCCTGCTGTCCCTTGTGTCACCTTCTCAATGGGGAGGGTGCATGGATTGTTTGGGGAGGGGGGGGGATGCTGTCTGAGTAGGGGTCTCACGTGAGAGCTTATGTAGTTATGGCCAACTGAAGTTAATTGCCTTGTGAATTTAGTGTTAGTGGAAGAGGTTTGAAGACTTGTCTATGTTTTCAGGTGTTAGGTTAAAAATAAAGTGTATCAAAAAATAGGAAAAGGTTTTGTGAAAACAATTAAGAATATGCTTGTCAGAAAGAAATATGATATTGCTTGTTAAAAAAAGGCCTGTGACAGTAGTTTTCTAGCCAGTTTTACTAGCATCTGGCTAGCGTTTACAAAAGGTCACTGACCACTAGCATAGGATATTAATCATCTCCATGCAGTATTAATTTATGGCTATATCAAATGACAAAATGCTTTTAAAAATTGATTCTTAGGAAATATTTTTTAAAAGCCCAAATATTGGGAGTGCAAGCACAGTTCTGTCCAGACTTGTTTGTCTTGCATAATGATTCAAACAGAATAATTCATAGATGGAATTCGTCTAATAAATAGCATTACTTTTTCCTATTTATTTCCTGCATTAGTGTTCTTCCAGCCCAACATTAGTTACACTTCTCAGAGGTTGTCAGCTATGTTAAAGATGCAGCATCTCTTTGATGGCAGAACTTATTACACCAACACTTGGATTCTCCAGTAGGCTGCAGATCATAAGGTTATCCTATGCCATATCTTAGTGCAAGGGGGGTATTTTCATGTGGGTTTTATTTCCATTCTGTGTGCACAGTTTTGCAAAGGGGAACTTGTGCTGTTGACTGTTTCAAACTGTTAACAAAAAAGCAACTCATTTGCATGGATTTCCCTTGAATGGTGATCTGCAAAGAAGCAGAAACACTTTGGGTTTTGTATTCTGTATTATTTTTTAATGTATTTAAAAGCACGCTCCAAATTAATTACTTTGGCATAGAAGTGGTTGTCCTCGACGCTTTCTGTTTGGAAATATCAAGAAAGTCAGGCCATGTCTTTCTTAGTTTTGTTGGAAGAGTGGAGATTTCAGACAGGTGCCGTGAGCTTTTAAGAACTCACTGGTGAATATTGAGCCCATTTCTCATGGTTGGGCCATGCAGGCTTTTGTTTGCAAGGCAGTGAAACGCAGCTGACGTCTCACAATCCCTGCTGCAGTTGTGTTGTGTAGCCTTTTTCTTTTTGAAAGGTGTCTGTCAAATAGATCCCAGATGGCTCTGCCAAGTTCCTTTCTGAGTGTATGTTTTTGTTTTAAGAAGGAAAATGCTACAAGATGCAACCTGAAACCCTATGACAAGTTTTGGCCTGAACTTGGCACCTCGTCTGTGCTATTGTGCAGTCGAGGCACTGAAGTTGCCAATTTCTCATAATTAAGATGAAGGGTGGGGAAACAAAACAGCATGAGATTTTATCTTGACTTAGTATCCCAGGATTTTTTTTTAATTTGTTATCTGTAGTTTCATGTTAAGTTTTATGGTTCGCAACTGCTGAAATATTTACTTTTGTGTTTAGAAATGCCAGGGTTTATAGAGGCGTTTGTTCAGGTTGGTTGTTCCAACACCCAGCTGCTCCTGGGGCTGCCTGCTGCCGCTGCCAAGGCACTGTGGGTGATGAATTTGAGCAGGCTCTCTGGTTTTCGTGTGGTTGAAGCTGAATGCTGTCTGACCTCCTTCACAGGAGCAGAGTGGCTCCTCCTAAGCGTGAAGATTCTGCTACTCGTGCATTTCTGCAGAGTGCAGCACTGCCAGGATCTGCTACTGCGCTTGTTCTCTGTGTCAGTTTGGTAGGAGTGGTAAAAGTTATCAGAATTGCCTCCCTTGGGATGCCAGAACAGAGTCAGAGCCACTGCTGGCTTATAAGGAAGAAAGTATGAGTAAAACAAGGAATGCACGTCTAATAGGTGAAGGTAAGGATGCCAGGGTTCAACAACATCACCTGGTGCTATAGCAGCAGTTAGAAATTGTGTGGATAAAGGAATACTGCATCTTTAAAATGTGTGAAAGCTTGAGAATATGTGGTTGTTTCTGGCTTTGCTTATTTCAGAGCTCAAAGCTTGTGTAGCTGAAATGTTGGAGGGGTTAAGGTTGCAGTGGCGTCTCTGAAAGAGGCCAGGACTTAGGAGGTGTGAGGTTTGCAGCAAGGCTTAAGAGTTGAACTGAAGGAAGCCAAAACTGCCCTTAAGGTTGAACAAACCCTTTGAGGAGCTAATCAAGACACCAGCATTGTTCTGTGGGTATGAATTGGCAGCAGACTTGAGGAGCTGTGTGTCCCTGTGACAACTGGGTGTATTGCTGCTTGATGAGTTACCAGTGGGAGGATGGCTGCAAGCTCATTATGCTTGTAGAAGCATTGATTTGTCCCAATTTTTACAAAATCTGCAGAAATCTTGATCACTGCTTGTTAGTCAGAACGTGTGGAGGCAGATCTCCAGGCCAGAGGAGTCTCTGTATTAGGAGTGCTTCCTGGGCACAAACCTGCCTGTTCTGTGGCTAAAGGATAAAAGGCTGACGGATCTGCTCTGTAAGCGAGAGGTCCCTAAGCATATTGGAGTAGAAGTTTTTGTTCTAATAAATAAGTTAATTTCGTGAAGAACTACTCGTGGGAGTAAGGATTTACAGGTTCAGGTCCTGTGCTTGCATCTCTGGTGTTCACGTTGTAACTAGTAAAGATATGCCATGTGTAAGTGTCACATAACAGCCAAAGGAACGACTGGAAGCCTGTGAAATCAAGGAGAAATAAGGAAATGGAACAGTAGGTGGTTCTTACAATGCAGTGTCTATTCCTTACAGCTCTCCTAGCTCTTTCCCCTATCCACTGATCAAGACAATCTTCTGCCTTTTGATATTACACGACTCTTGAAAGCTGGCTATTTATTTAAATAGATATAATCTATAATTTTGTCATCAAAACACTGATATTTTTAATAGAAATGTATTGTGTGGAAGTTTGTTCTCAGGGCTTCGTGTTTATCCTCGAGGGGGGTGCACTTAAAGGGATGTACTTGGAAAAAGTGCCAGTGGCCACTTTGCAGCTTGGACCTTGGTCAGTTGTGGTCTGTGAGCCTGTGAGATAGCATAATGCTCCTGTAAACCTCTAGGAACAGTCCAAAGAAAATGCCATTCTTTTCTCAGTGTGAGCAGTGGCGTGAGTCTTCCTTTCAGATTGCTGCATCACTGTGTGGAAATGGCCACAGCAGATCATCCTTGCACGGTGTGCTGATCTTTACCACCATTTCAAGGACACCTCTGTTCTCCGTGCAGCTGGACAATAAACTTGCACTGTTTCCAAAGCAGTCATCACTGCATTCTTGCTCTTCTGGGAAAGTGCAAGGTTCGCTCCTGCAAGAGCTGTGAAAGCTGCTGCTAATTGCTCGCTTTGGGCTGCTCCCGGCCTGTCCCACATGTGTCCCAGAACCTTGACCCCCATTTCTCTCCTCCCTCTCCTGGAACCAACTTGTCTTTTGAAAACTGATGTTCATATCCAAGACGCTTGGGTGGTGATAGGAATCCTTTGTACTTGAGACTGTTAGTTTTTGGACATTGTGATTCACGCGCTGAGGACCTCGAATATATTTTGCAAGTTGTTTGAATAAGCATTGCACCAAAGGAATGTATTGTAACACTGTCAGCAAACGTTGCCTGTAGGGGAGATAAGGAGGTTCCCAGTGACTTCAGCAGCAATTTTCTTGAAGTACAGTGAGCGTTTCCAAAGTTCTCCCCCATTTTTCTACTTGCAGTAAGTAGCATTTTTATTAACTGGCAGAATAGCAGCACTTGGAGCTGGATCTTTCCATCCAGTTGTAAGTCATTATGCTTTAAGGCATGAGCAGACCACTGACTGTGTCCTCTCCTTTGGGACAATTGGTTTGCTGTCAGAATTAGGACAGTCAGTGAGCTTGGCCAGGATGGCAGCCCCAGTGCTGCAGAGGAAGGAGCAAGCAGTGCACATCGTGCCTATGTGAATGTGTTCTCATGGCAGTCGTTCTCACCTGCATCCTGATAACGAAAGGGGGTTTGAAGGGCCTTTTTTCCTAGATTTAAAGATCTTCAATGCAGATCCTGTTTGCAGCATGTGAACTTCAATAAATATAGATGCATTAAATGATTTCCGGATTTAGATATAGTTTTATATCGTGTTCTGGGGAGAGGGAAGAAATTGAATCATGTTTTAAATGAAGCCCCACAGAACAAAGTGTCTTTGCGGTGGATGACAGAGGCCTGTGGAGATCTTTAACTTGCAAATTTGTGTTGTAATTTAACAACCTGTACAAGAATGTGATTTGCCATTCAGCACTTACCACAAAGTAGCACCAGTAAAATTATATCGCGATTTCACCTGTGTATAAAATCATGAGGTATGGCATATGATAATTTTTATATGAAGCTGACACTGGTGTGTGGCATGCACAGCTGTTTCCAAGATGTAACATTACTTTTATGAAGCTTAACTAGGGCGGACATCGCTGAGCCTGTGGAATTCAGGGTTCATTCTGGACACGCTGATGTGGGTCACTGACTTCTCCCTGCCTGGGGAGCCCGGCTTCGCCCCAATACGGAGCCCTTCAGACAGCAAGGAAGAAGTGCTACTGACTTGTTTTTCTTCTAAAGGTTTGCTGTTGTCCACTGAAGTATTTTCCTAGAGGTTATTGAGGTCTTGAGCTAAGCCAGACCTGTTCAGATTGGAACAGTTACGTACCTTTAGCAGGTGGAGAAGTCATACCCATGAGCAAGACTGGAATGAATGCTGAGTCTTTAAGCCTGCTCACACATACACACTAAAGACACTGATGTTGTGTGTGCTGTAAATTTATATTATAACTTAAAAATAAAGGATTTTTGATTTATTACAAGGTGTTCTGCAACATCATTTTTAGGGGTAGCGAACATTTCTGAACTGTTCAGATACAGTTTTCTCTGTATCTGCAGACTGCTGGAGTTGTTTCTCAGGAAGTAAGGCCCTTTGATAGCTGATCGTTAACCATGTAACAAAACGTGAGTGGCAAATGGTGATTCAGTTACTGTTTTTGCATCTGGAAACCATTTCTCCATTGCTCAGGACAAAGTTTCAGTGGTAGGTTTCACTGTAAGAGCCGTGTGAAGCAGCATTTGGTGCTTCCCTGTGATGGACTGATGCTAAAGAGGAATTTAACTTGAATGTCATCGAAGAAAAGGCTTCCAATTCATCAATCTGCAACAGGGGAACCCTCATGAAGGAAAACAGCTTGAGCAAATAGCAGCTGTCAGTGTAGTGGGATGCAGCACACGGCTAAATGCAAATGCTCCCACTTGTGCCAGTGCTGCTGGCTATCTGGCACCACACGGGAAGCACCTGTGAGCTGTGCCCACTTGTGTGCAGTTGCCATGGAGGCAATTGAGTGAGAGTGTAAGTGAGTGAGGTTTTCCTCTGAGGAATAGGTGGGGCTATTAGCATTTTCACACAGTGTTCAGAGCAAGGAAGAGCACCTGCCAGCAGCCGGTTGGTTTAGCGCATGTTGCAGCCACTTGTGAGGCATTCACAGTAATTTTCATTGCATCCCATGGAAGGTGGGGGGTTAGAACACGAGCCATCCAAGTGCTTGTTGCTCTGTGCAGGTTTCTGAACGCAGTGTTATTAATTGCAGGTGTTCTCTCGGTGCCACGTGGCCCAGAGCTGAAATTCCCTTCAATGCACAAATCGACAGGAGGGTGAGGACAGTTCAAAGGGCAGCTCTCCATAACTTCAAATTAAAACAAAAACAAATAAAGCACTGCGAACAGCCCGTGGTATATCATTAGATAATGGCACTTCAGCACCTGAACAGGCCTAGCAGGTCTAGGCAGAAATCCACACCTTAAAGAATGAAGAAGTGCCTGCCATGTCAGCGACAGGACGGCTGGTAATGGCCTGGTGTTTGTCAGTGCTGGAGACGAGCCGTGCTCAGCACACAGAAGTGCTGCTGGCATTCTAAAGCAGTGATGCAGGGAAGGGCTCTCCACTGCCCTGCCCCCCAAGTCACCTCCTGCTGCCATCAGAGCCAAAATCCGTGCTGCAGGAGGTGGGACGGGTAAGTACAGGTTGTGCTCAGCTGTAGGAATTCATCGTTGTTGGTAGCATCTCACTTCAGCATCGCCAACAGAATCAGTGTGGTAAGAGGTGTTCCAGTTTCCTCAGTGAGTGGTTCAGCAGAACGGCTCCTGTGTTCTGGCTTTTTTCTTTCATGTATTTTCTCTTCTCCCGTGACCAAATGGTTGATAGTAGCACTGATCCTTAAGAAAGAGCAGAACAGTGTGAATAGACATGGCTGCCTCCTCTAACGTATCTCTTGTGCTGGGTTCCAGCAGAGCAGCAGAAAGGGCAGATTCTGTCCCTGTGAGCTCTGCTGGCCTGGCAGCCCAGCATGAGGGATGTGCAGGATGTGACCCAATCTCTTGTTCTGCCTTGATCTCGCTGTTTTGTGCTCTTTCTGTAAGAGGGGAATTGGCCAAAAGAAGCAGCAGAAGCTGCAGAGGATGCAAGACACGCACTTGTGAGCTGAACTGCAGCTTCTGGGATTTGCTCCTGGAAAATGGTTTGGAAAGGACAGGACAGGGCTGTGTGCGTGAACAGGACAGCAGTGGTGGTAAGCAGCCAGGGAGGTGACCTGAGCAGAGCTGGCCGTAGCCCTATCCAGTGTCACCAGGAATCCTGTCCCTTGTGGGGGGAGGAACATCCAGTAACTTGAGCTGTGCTGAACCACATCAGCTGCACCAAAATAACCCTGGAGAGGTGAGCAGCACTCAGACCTGGGCTGTGCGCTGTGTGCAGCTGGTGCCCAGGTGGCAGGACTGGCTGCAGTGGCTCTGAGTGCTTGGCTCAGCCCTGGGGTCCTGCAGCCAGGGCACCCTGCTGGGTTTCCTATGACTTCCATAGGGAAGTTGTAATCCTCAGATGGGTTTTGTGGAACCCAGCCAGTGTGATGCCATCAGGCATTGCACAACGTGCTGGTTGGGCTGGTTGGGTGCGAGGGCCCCGCGGCCGTGCCGACCTCGTGCTCTGCAAGCACAGCTCGGAGCTGTGGGTTGTTTCTGGGTGTGCTTTGCAGGTACCTCCTGAAAATATTCATGGATGAGGTGTAGTGCTTATGCATGATGTGGTTACTTGGCTTTTGTGAGCTGTAGCTTGGGCATAACCCGCACTTAGGTTCTGATGAGCTTCTGTACCCTCTGAGAAAGGGCCACTCCGCAGGGAATCTGGGCCTGGCAGTCTCACAGCTCCCACACACCCAGGATTTGGCTGAATTACTCAGCTCCTTGTTGCTGTGTGCATAGGAATAGCAGAGCCCGTGGTGCCGTGCTGTAGCTGCCAGCTGCATGCCCCGGTGTGCAGCCTCTGCACTCCATCTCCTTGCGTGAAGCCAGGAGGGTTTGGGACATCTCCCTACACCTCTTGGCATTGAGGACTTGATTATTTTTCTGTTCCCTTGCAGTACCTGCAGATGCAGGCTGCCACCCCTCTGTGCAACATGCTAAAGGAAAATCATTGGGGCCCTTCTAAATTCTCCTCGCAAGGCCAGCAGGCACTATTTCCGAGCAGCTGGCTCTCCACTGCAGCAAGTCCCTTCTGTCTGCGTTTTCCCCTCTAGACAAGCTCGTTGCCAGGCTGCATGTGATGAATCACGGCCTTCTTTCTCCACTTACCTCGATGCACAGCAGCGCTCGCCTTCCTCCCATGCTCCCACTCTTGAAAACGCACTGAGAAGCGGGGAAAAAAGCAGAAAGCTCCATGAGATCCATGCCCTGTGCCACCCTCCTGTGTCCCTGCCCTGCGCAGGCAGCGCTCATGGCTGCAGGATTCCCAGTGCCATCACTGCCCGAGCCCATGAGGTCTCCTACAATGTATTTATAGCTCACTGTGCTGGAAATATCCACAGGGTGTCTGATTCCCTGCCCTGCGTTGGTGCCAGCGGGACGGGCTGAGCCCCCCGAGCAGCACTGGGGCAGGGGCTCACTGCTGCCCTCGGGGTGTTGGTTCCTTGCTGAAAGCTCACAGAGCTGTGCCATCGCCAGGGTCGCTCACGCAGGACTTTTCATCTCACTAGAAATATTTCTTTGTGTCCTATCAGGGTAGATCTTAACGAAGGCAGCAAGAGAGAGATAACAAAGTGTCAGTGCTGTATTGCATAACGAATCCCTGCAGAGCGCAGGTGCTACCGAAATGTCCAGATGTGGAGATGGTGGTGATGATGGTGGTGATGCGTAAACAAGCCCACATCTGCGCTGAGGTAACTCTGTTTCTCAGCAGCTTCCAACCAAGGCCTCTTCAGGGCTCCTCTTAGTGGGTCAGGTGCTGTGGGGCTGCAGAGGCTCGCTCACAGTCGGTGAGCGCTCAGTGGGGATGTCTCAGCACTGAGCACTGCACTCAAGCACAAAGCAAGGAAGTGCTTTGATTTATTGCTTTTCAGAAATAGCTCTGTTCCATGAAGCATCAGAGCCGTGGCTGGTCCTGTCCTGCTGCCCCCACCGCAGCCTGGTCCACGGCCGGGCCACTGCAGCGAGCAGTGCTACTGGTGATGCAGGTGCCAGCAGCTGGGTATCCTGCTTTAAAGTCATTTCGTCTGGTGCTTGTTTAAGTCACTACAAGAAAATAGATGAAGGCTATAACATAAGAGACTCCAGCCACCACTCTTGCAGGCAGGTGCACACTGGCACCAGCAGCACAGCCAGTACGGCTGATCTGCTGCTTCTCTGGCTGGCCTGAATTGGAGCACTTTCCTTGGACAAAGCGTTCCAGCTTTAATGAGCAAAACCAAACTAGGATCATCCAACCCCAGTCCCCTCCTCTGATGTCACTGGTACCTGGTGAGTCATCCTGCGTTGCCATGGTGATGCAGTGATGCTGGAGAGCGTGGGGATGCTGCTGCCCTGCATGGGGAGCAGAGGCGGCCAAGCTCCCCCCTGGCACTGAGCCCCCCACCCTGCCATGGGCTGCCATACTGCGAGCTGCTGCCCATGGCCCTCTGCCACCTCCGAGGCTGACAGGATGCCGGCGGATGCCAGCGGTAAGTCAGCGCTGCCGGGGGTTGTGCTGGCTGTAGGGCATTGATGGGGTCCTACAGAGGCTGTCGTCCAGCAGGACAGGAAGGAGGCCGTAAGGACATCACCTGAGGCTGCCCTCTGCAGTCTGACCCCCTCAATGTGCTCCTGGCAGCCCCAGGGGCTCGTGACCCCGATTCCCAGCAATGCTCTCAGCCAGTCCCAGGAGCAAGGGGAGCAGAGCAGAGAGGCACAGGGTTGGGGTCTGCATGGGGACCGTGTCAGTGGCGTTGGTCGGGCATAGTGGGAACAGCAGCACCATGCTTCAACCCGTCCCCATCTGTTCAGAGCCGTGCTGTTAGGAAGTTTGTTTCTGTAATCTGTGGCATGTGCCAAATCCTTTGTACGTGACTAAAGGTGCTGCCTTGCTCGGGGCATCCCAGGGCGTGCTGACAACCCTGTGAGCCCTGCAGTGAGGGGACGCATCTCATCCCTGCTGGGGAGTGCTGCCCCACTGCTCAGCTGCTGTGTGCCATGCTGGGGGTGCTCACAGGTGCCACCCTGGCTTTGCTTTCTGCTCAGGTTGGAGTTTTATGGTCATAAAGTTCTTGCTGTAAGCAGGGCCTGGATAAGCAGGATTGAGATGTTTCAATTGCTCTGACTAATTTTCACATTAACATATTTCTTTAGCTACAGATTCAAGAGCATTAAAGTGCAACATGCGCAAGCTGGCGGGGACCCAAGGGCGGGAGGCAGTTCAGGTTTGTTTTGGCATGTCTGGAGACAGGAGCAGAGGGAAGGACAGGGCTGCCAGGTGAGGAAGGAGCCCTGCAAGCCTGGTAAACTGGGAGCTGCG